TCACATTTATAATGGCACTTATACCTTTGGCCACTGTTCCCTCATTCTGCAATTCTAAGGTTCTGGAAGTATTTGATAAATGGGTATATACTACTTCTTTTTTTAATCTAAATTTTTCTGTCTACTGTGTTCAAATGGGACTTAGTCTGAGAACCTATTTTAGATTTGTCAATGTGGGTAGAAGATAAATAGCAAGGTCAGAAGAGATTGTATACTGTTATAAATTGGTAACTGATGTTCTTTGCTTCTACTCTAAGTGCAAGTGCCAGCTGATTTAACATAGAATTTGATTACAGTGACAGTAACATGTAGGTTTAATATTTCATTTGACAAGAAACTTTGCTGTCAATTCATTCAACTTCACCTAAGAATTTGTATGCAAAGTAAGAGTAACGATATTCAATATTATTTTGGTTGGTTTTAGCATTTCTAGCTAAGCAAAACCAAGGTATTTTCAGCAGTGAATTCAGCTTACTCAAACTCAGTTTAGGGACAGTCCTCTAAGGTATGGGTCAGAGATTGCACTTGATGGTTTGTATTGTCCTCGACCAAAGACCTCAACTAAAGCTGAAATAATTCAGAAGGGATCAGAAACAATATGATAGATCAAAACCTAGTGGCTGCATAGCTGTATTTTGAACAAGAAAGTGATTTGTTGCTGATGGCAGGGTGCAGGATGCCACCTGAGAAGTCCTTGTGTAGCAAAGCTAACTATAAGGGATTTCTGGATGTGACGTGAACTTGAGAAAGGGTAAGGAGAGCTAGGCATAGTGGGAAGGAAGTGATTTTAACCCTCTTGCACTTTGGATGAAGAATGTTCAGGGCAAATGTGCACTGAATTAATGCTACTTGTTACAGCGAACAGGACTGAGATACAAATCTTGCAGCCCACAGCACAGTAGCATAAGATTACAGGAAGCCGCACATTGGCCATACTGAATGAGGATTTAGCAGCCTGAGAGCTGAGCAAGACCAGATCTGTAAAAAGTGTGAATATTTCATCCTCTTGCAGATCCAGAAGGTTTTCCTAATACATTGTAAATGACTGATTTTTAGCAACCAGTTTTCACAGATGATTACAGCAAGTCAGGCACGGTAAGATTAGCCTGGAGTTAGTTGGGATGCAGATTGTTTTCCAGTGGATACCCGCTGAAGAAAGCCTTCCACTCCCAAGTCGTAGAAATATTACTGAGGCAGAAAACTCATGAAACTCTTTTGGAAGCAACAACCGCAGCTGCTGTGGTATGTAACTCCCCCCAAACCTCTCCAGTGCAGGATGTGTTAGCACTTAGCAAGTTTTTGTTATCTGGGGTGTGGTGTTCATTCATCATCCCTCACACTAGGCTAAAATTTGGCCAGTTGTTTCAGCCTTGGGGAAAGATCTGATAAACTTGAAATCGGTCTCTTTGGCTGTTCTAAAGACACACATGTACATTGTTTAAACTATGTCCTCTTGACAGTAGCGTATCAGAAGTTTTTCCAGGAGAAAAATCTTCAGAGAGGCCACAGGTCTACACGTAATGTTATGATGAATTCTGGATTTGTTTCTCCTATAAATAGCCTGGCTTTTAAAAACATGTAAACTGCCTGTAGCGATTAACAGATGAGTACTTGAATCCAGGCGCCTTTTCTAAAGGATCCTTAAGAAAAGCTTTGTGATGAGGAGAAAAATAAGTGGAATGTTTATTGGATGATCACAGCAAGTGAAAGACTCATTATAGCATTAGATGGACCAGACACAGGCCCTTTTAGGGTCAAGCTAGCAGAAGTAACTGACCAAAGTTATTGTGAATTAACTGCAAAATGAGGAACAGGAAACTCAGAAGCCTGGGGTAGGACTGCCAGCATAGCTACGCAAAACCCAAAGGACTGGCACCTTTTGCTGATGACAACGAAATGCAGCATTTGATTAAAACATAGGTGCCATATGGCTTGCTTGTTCCTAAACAAAAAACCAAAGAAAACCAAACAGAAACCTCAAAAAAACCCAAACCAAAAGCACCACACCTCAAAGGCCAAACTGGAAGGACAGAAGCTGAAACCGTACAGGTGTGAATGCATGATTTTCTTTGTCCACATGCTATGGTCCTCTCACAATATAGATATCTACTGGATCCTAACCACCCTTCTTCTTAAAACTGCATTGCCTTAGATGAGCATCAGGGTACTTGGTAGGGAATTATTTCTTTATAAAACCTACTTCATCTGATAATACTATGTACAAAGGTTTCAGTCTGGGAATTTGGTAAGCATCTCACAGGACACAATCCCACCTCAGATGGGGTATCTCAGAGTTTAATTGATAATAATATAACAACTCCTGTACTCTTTCCATGTCAGACTATGTAGCTACTTAGCTACCCTACTGAATACCTTTTGAGAAGCTGTGAATTTTATTTCATAAAAGTCCATGTGCCTACTGAAAATCTGAGCTCTGTTAAGCAGTGGCACAGTTACGCTGCAGAGATTCTTTAGTTGGATGACACAGGCAGAGCCCAGAAAAGATTGCTGGTTTATTATTTCAAATCTATTTTTCAATTATTGTCTTCCTGTTTGGAGAAGATCCTTTCTGGCAGTGATTCAGCCTTCTTAGGAATTTTTTATCTCTCATTAACTGGGAACAGTTCCCAGGACATGAGATTTGCCATCATCTTTAAGTCAAATATGTCTGAAAACACTTGTGACAAGCAGCTCTGTGGGCCCCACTCTGCTGAAGAACTTTAGGAATGCTCAAAAGTTGGGATTTTTTTTTACTGAACACAGATAAAAATGCAGTTCCCCTGTATGTACAGTTTTGTTTGTGTGAGGCAGAAAGTGCAGAAAAGGTTGTCGGCTTCTGCCGAATGCGTAGCTGTCTGAATTTGAGATCTACCTTTGAACCCTGTTCAATATTCACAGCCCTAAGCTGCTTATATATACAAGTAGCTGTTCTTTGCATGTCTGCATTCAAGATCAGAATAGCTGTGGTTTGATGCCAGCATTACATTTCCGATACATTCAGAGTTTCTTCATTTTCTTTTTCTTAAATTCCAGTCTTGAGTGGAACTGATGGGACACCTCAGGGGTTAAATAATTCCTAGAGAGAGTCAGAGATGAAGAGGACAGCCAATAATGAAAATGATAGAAAGAGAATGAGCATTAGCTGTGTTTTAGCTTCTCAGTTCAATATTGGTTTTGTTTCTGTGAGTCAAGCGTCAATTCTGTGTTTCCTCCCTCATTAACTTTTCTTCCTTGAGTAGGCATATCTTGTAGTGACCTTTCATTCTGCCTTTTAACAGAGCCCCTTTTTTGCCTGATAGGTCTAAATCTGCTGTGCAAAAAATACTAAATCGCATTAGTCTCCCTGTTTGGTGGATGCTGCCCTCTAAGGAGGAGGATCGACAGCAAAGGCAGTATCTGAGTAAGAGAAGTGCAGGTTTTTTGCAACGGAAGAGTGAGTGTATGGTTAAACTAAAAGCATACTGAGTCCTCTTCTCTGTCTTTGTATTGCTGAAATTCCTGGATGGGAATTGTTCTTAATGATAATGAAAGATAAATAGTCATGTCCACAAACACCGCTGTCTCTATGAATAGCTACTTTTCCCAGCTTTCCCTAAAATCAAACCCAGGTACTACACTACCAAGGCAGGAACAAATGAGAACATTAAAATTAAATGGTGCAACTTCACCTGTACAAGGGCTGGGTGGTAGATCTGGTTGTCTGGTAGTTGTCAGGTACTATAATCCATATACTTCGTCATCTCATATAAATATTTTTAAATACTAAGCCTGTATAATCAATGTCAAATGTGAACCAAAAATATGTTGTTATTCATCTCCATAGACATAAGGAAAGATTGAATTTAGTAATGTTACAGTCTTGAGTATAATGAAGTAGGAAATGGATTTGATGACATTTTACTAGTCAGCTACAGAGTAAAGAGGTATTTTGTGCACATAACATCTCAGTGGATAGGGAATATTTCGTGAAAAAGGTTTTGAGGTTAACTTGTTTGGAAAGCCAGGTACATTTTAAAGACTTTCGGAATTCATTACTTGTCACTCTTAAGGGTCGTTTTCTAGGATGAATTATTTTTCAATTAAAAAAGCCTGATGTGGGGATTGCATGCTTAGTTTCTGATGCAAAGAAGTTAATACATTGGTTGCTTTGGTTTCCTAAGGAGAAGAAATCACATTAATACCTGTGCCTTGATTTTTCGTGTCCTTATAGGCCTGAAATCTGATCAGCTTTGTTTATTATGGGTATCAGTGTATTTAAGAGGTTGAATTGGATTTGGGTAACAGGATCTGGAGTATTTAGCATCTCTACATCAGTAGTTTGAATTCTGCTCATGCTGTCTGTGCTAGTGAAGCTTCTGAAATCAGGCATCTGTGCATTAAGTTAATGGTCCCAGAAGTGGCTCTAGAAAGCTCTCTATTAATGCCCATATCAGAGGTGTCAGGAAGAAGGCCAAGGGATGAAATGGCAGGTTGAAAACTGTCATTCATTGTCTAAATTCATCCATAACAATGGAGCAATTGAGAAAATACATGTTGTTTGACAAAATGAGGAGGCAAGCAGGTTTACACAAATATCTAACTGCAGTGTGACATTCATTGCCTTGGACTGTTAGATGGAGATTTGAAAAGGTGTTGGGCAAATCATGGAGAATAGATAGATTGTGACATAGCCTCTAGCCAGGAAATCTTTAAACCACTGATTACTTGAATGGGAAGGTGTGAAGAGGAAAGGCTGTTATATATTGTCTTGTTTCTTGCAGCCTTGTACCCCGAGTAGTCACTGCTGGCCCCTGTTGAGGACAGGATACTGGACTAGGTAGACCTCTGAACTGAAGCAGTATGGCAGATCTTATGTTCTCGTAGCTATTGTCACATCATGAAGGCAATGTTGTAACAGGTGAACTAGAAGAAAAATGGCAGTGGTCTGTCAGCAAATAACGAGTGCTCACAAAGCAGTGCAGTGCACTGATCCCTCATTTCCCTTTTTTATTTTTGTTCAGGCAGGTGACAAGCATTATCATCCAAGCTGTGCACGATGCAGCAGGTGCAACCAAATGTTCACGGAAGGAGAAGAAATGTATCTGCAAGGTAAGGATGTCTCCATTCAAAACCAAGAAAAGCAGACTTTCTAATATTTCTGTCACAGACCTCAGGAGTTTGTAAACCATCTCCATGTAATATGGGCAAGGAGGACTATAGCCACCCTGTCTTCATTACAGTGTTCTCATACTTTTTCACTTGAAACCCTTTCACCTTAGTGGGTGGTCGTAATGGTGGCTTTGCAGTGACTCTGCAGCCTAGCTGAGGCAGACTGTGTTTTCAAAAGCTGTGTAGCAAAAATGAAATTTATTACGCTGCCTCTGAATTTGGCATCTCACAGATAGCTTAGCACACAGACTGGTATATGAGATACCAGACAAAGTTAGAGGGTTTCCCCTGAATTCTGCTGCTCAGTTTCTTTGCTCTTCTGGACCACACCTCCAGACTGTAAAAAGCGATGGAAAAACTTCCAAAGACTGCAGTGAGCTTGTTTTGAATCATGTAAATCTCATTCCCCATGTGTATAGACAGATTGTCTCCTTCAGTTCTTGATAGTAGTTGCTTGCCTTGCCTATTTCCCTTTTCTGTGGTCACATCTCTCTTTTTATTCCCATTTACTTTATTTGTGTGTCTTCTACAGTCAATTCGTTCTTGTATGTTCATTTTCATCTCCTGTTTCTTATCAATAGTCTCACACTCCCAGGTATTGCCAAGCACTTTTTTTTTTTAATGATCTTTTCACATAAAAAAGAACATGCTCTTTTCTTTGATTGAAAAGTATCCTTGATCTGAATTCTACCTACTCTCCCAGAAGGTAGCATGTTAACTATTAAGCTAGAGTTATTTGTATTACTTGCTGTAGTATTAATTAGTGTTGGTAGAAAGACATATAATACACATTTATGCAAGCCAGAAATCAAAGTGAAAAAGGTAGATACATACTGGGATTTTGTATATTGTGCTTATGTTAGAAAACTTGCTTGATATACCTGAAGGGACTGTAAAAGAATAGGAAAAAAATTATGAAAGTGTGGTCGCAGACATCTCTTGAAATTCTGAGGAGAGATTCCTTCTGGAGGAATTCCAAAATAAGATAATATTGTTAAGGAATTCCTTTGAAGCTAGCTTGTGTTATTTTGTAGTTTGTCCTCCCTACCAGTCTGTCTGTCTTATCTCTCACTGACCTTATACCTTGGTCATCTTATTCCAGCTGTGCACAGAACTGGCTATCAAGTGGTGTAGCAGCTCTGCATTGCAAGAGCCAAGGAGAGGCTGAAAGAGGGCTGGGTAGGAAGTACTGCATTCTGATGGCAAATGGGAAAGACTGATTTGAAAGCAGCAGTTACAGCACCTGACAACTGGTAATCTTAGTTTCCTCACATCATAGTATGATAAAGTACAGGCAGAGTTTAAGGTGAGCATCAGTTCATCCTTTGCTGTTATTAATAACAGCTGTTTGCAACTGATGCCATTTGCACCAGTCTAGCAGAGAGTTGGAGTTCAGGTTGATTGGGCAGGCTGTGGTGTAAATTTCTGCAGACCCAAATAAGACAGAAGCATTGTTGCTACTTAAACAAGGCTACATTTTGTCCTGGCCAAGTTCAGGTGATATGAAAGAGGAGAGGAGAGACACCTGGCTCCTTGATCTGCCATCATCCTCTTCTTGGCTGTACCTCCCTTTCTGTAGTTGTGAATTAACATTCTTCATGCTCACTCTGTCTCAGAGGAGGAGCAGCCCAAGTTGCATTGCTTTATTTTTCACAAGCTGTTTTCTGACTAAATAATGTTACTGCTGAGTGTGCTCCAGACTGTCCTGCCAAAGCTTTCCTTGCTGAATTCAGCATGCTTGTAAGTGTAAGGGACCTAAAAGCCTTTCCTGTGCAAAGCTCTCAGCTGAAATGTATGTCCTGACTCCATCCAAATCGTTTACTCTAGGGTACAGAATAACAGCATTCCAAGCATTTCTCTGAAATAAAAATACAACACCACAACACTAAAGCTAGAACCAAAGTCACATTATTGATAAAATGCATGAAAATAGGCAGCTTCCATCTCACATCTAATTGTCCTCTCCACAGGACATGAAAGCGCTGCATTGGTATTGCTTTTTGTAATACAGCAGCCTGGCAGGTTTGTAGTAGCTACTTGTATTAGAAATGTGTGGGAAACCTGCAAAAGGAGAACATGGAAAAACAAGCTGTCTGGTTTGGGGCTTTCTATGTTAAGGATGGTTTGAATAATGCTAGCAGAAGCACTCTGGCTTTGCCCTGCTCCAACACAGGAAAAAGAAAAGCAGCATCAGAAATTTTCTCTTTCCCATTGACCTCCTAGTAATATAGTACTATAGGGACAGCCCCAGAAGACTCTTGCTGAGCTAGGGTGTTGCTCAGCATTTAGAGGGATGCTTCACTTGATTCTCACACAGGTTTTCAGCCTTATTCAATGTGTAAACAATAGCCCAACATACTGATTTTGAGAGCTGTATGTTGAAACAATGGTACGTGCAAAGTAAAAAGCTGAATAAATGAACATGTACGTCGATGTCTGCCAAGTGAGCAAACAAACATATGTTAAGAATGGGAATAACCACAATTTGCTGAACTGTTTCCGCTAGGAAAAAGAGCGGCCATGCAGCTTGAGAATTTGCACTGTTCCAAGCATTTCAAAATAGACTGACATGTTTGAATGAATAAAATCTACAAGTTACGGGTGGCTCAGAGCTCAAGATTATGAAAAATACTTACCTTCTTAGGCCTGCTCTATCTGATTTGGGTTTTTAGATTTCACGTATTGCAAACCTCTTATTTTGGTGGGGGGGGGGGGGAACCTCACAACCCTTAGCTAAGTTTCACCATGAAAATGACATCCAGACTCCCCTGCATTTCTTGTTCACTTTCAGCAGCTCCAGCATACTCCTGAGGTGTCCCTAAAATTGGGCCAGTTTGTGCTAAATACTGCCTGAAAATGCAGTGCCAGCTTTTTCTTTGATGGTTTTCTTTAACAGAAAAGAAACTGAGGTACAGAGGAACAGAGATAATTTTTCTCAGGGTCACACAGGAAGCTTACAGCTGAATTTGAGTATTGAACCAAAACCTTCTGAGCCTTAGTTCATCAGCCTTATAACATGAACTCCCTTCCTCCTGAGTGCTTGGATCTGTCTGACCTCTTAAGCAAATGCACAGGGCATGCTTCTCTCCTGATCTTGCAGGCTCCATAGGGTCCTGGCTCTGAGGCTGCTGTTTGTTTACAGAGAAGGCTGTTGGTACACTTCTCCCTGTTGTCTGACTGTTTCCCCCTGCCAAATGCACAGTTTCTTCTTCCTAGGCTTAGACTCAAAGCCAAACATCTCAGACCCCTGATCCAGAGTCACAGCGTTCTCTCCAGTCTCCTGATGATGGTTTTACTGTGTGCTGCTGGGAAGTGAAATCATTCCTGATACCGAGCCGTGTAAGGGCTCATTAGGACAAAATTTCCAGGGGCTCTGACCCATACCTCTCTGGGGCTCTGAGGGTGGGGTTTCCTCTGACTGCACTTGAGCTAATAGTCACCAGCAGGAAACCTGGACTTTGCTCTGTTTGGTTTCTTTGTGGACAGAGTGAAGAAGTGATGTTCCCCCCTGCAGGCAGACAAAGCTCTGTATTGGCTTTGTGGTGACTGGAATGAAGTTCGAATTTGACTGCAGCTGCAGTCAGTGTTAAAAATCAGCATCAGCTTCTGCTCCATTTCAACTTGGCTGATACCTGCCAGCAGCTTCCCAGCAGTCACCACAGTTTACACTCTGTTCCAAAGGAGAACTGAAATGGGATGGAAGTGCTCCTTGCCCCTGACACTGCTCGTCCCTTGGGGACAGACGGATATTTCCATTTTTACAGCATAAGAGAGAATCCTGTGTTTTGGGACACAAACAGCAGAGACCTTGCCTTTTTTAGTAGGATGTGTAGCTGGAATATGCCACGTGCAAATGCCAGTGACCTTGCAGAGCAAGGGCTAAAACGATGTGTGTGCCAATGGCAAGTATGGTACACTGTGATCTACGGAGAGGCTCTTTCACACGCTGCTTTGTACCACCTGCGTCATACTGGCCTCTCTAGCTTAGCACAGTGGGTGAGATACAGCCCTGACTTTGCTGCATTTTGAATTTTCTAATTTTACTTTTCCTGTTGCATTTTGCATAATTGCAGGGGAGAGGTGATCTGAGTAATACTTTACAGTAACTGAATATGACACCTATTGCTCAAGGAAGTCGTAGGACTTTCCCAGTATTAATGGACTTAAAATCAGAACTTCCTTTTTACATGTGGTGCAGTACATAAGGGGAGAACAGATCAGGTAACCACGGCCCAGTTCTTTTACTCTTACCCTCCATCACGCCCAGAGGAGCCCTCTGTCTTTCAGTTCCTCCAGCTGGTGCTTGCTGACTTGCTGCTTGAGGCTGTTTGAGTTTTAATTAAGAATGTGTGCAAAGTGCTTTGACAGCCTCAGGAAGAGGCTGCTGTAGATGGGCCAAGGATTTGAATATTTTTTTTGTTTCACTTGTATTTCCCATGAGCTAGAATTGAATGTGAATTACTTGCATAGTTCATACAGCTTCACCATCTGATGCAATGAAGGGGTTCTCTTTAATAACTGACTTGTCATGACCAGAAGTCATCTGCTTTACTTTGAATAAAGATGTTTTTTTACTTCCCTCAGGTTCCACTGTCTGGCATCCCGACTGTAAGCAATCCACTAAGACTGAAGATAAGCTACGGGTAAGCTGAATTCGTGGCAGTGACACACCAGATATTTTGCCCACACAGTAATTGAATGCTGTTTTAAAAGAGTGACGTTTCCCATGTTTTTTTCACATAGCTGTCACCACTCTGGCAGAATAAACAGTGGAGGCACTTCAGAGGTATTGCTCTGATTTTTAGGCTCACCACCTTCACATACCTGTCTCAGTGCACTGCCTTAAAGATAGTATCATTTACTGACATACAGACATGGCACAGTCACTAAAACACTTCATTTCGTATCTCAATTATTGTGAGAGAGACTCTTAAGGAGAAAATGTGAACAGGGCAAATGCTACAGTATATTTTAGTAATTTTGCACATCTGTGTAGTTGCTGTATAGTTATCCCCTGTTCTGCGTGGTTATTTACAGCATTTAGACAATATGGACTCTTCTTTGTTTGCCATCCAAATAAACCCCAGCCTAAAGTGATCCTAATTTGAATGCCAAGAAGAGCTGCAGTTACACTTGGAGTTACCTCAGCATGTCCAGACAAACTTTCTGGATCAAATCCTTGATGGCAATAATGATGCACTGATAAATGCTGGAGCCTGGCTTTTTGCATGCACCAGGCAATTCTAAGCCCATATTCACTAGTTCATCTTCTGGACAATTTACTCTTTTTGATGTCTCAGTTGGTCCTTTGAACTTTGATAATTTTTCTGGATATGAATATTAGAGACTGTATATGAATAAAATGTGTTTCAGACAAGGAAACTAAGAGGTACCGGCACAGAGATACGTAGGATATCCTGTGGGTTGTGTTCTATGCGTGGCTCATTCACAGGAAACCACGTGCTTTAGAACTTTTTCAGGTACACTGGTCTCTAAAACATCCCCCACAGAGAATTTACTATGATTGTAGGCAATGTGCAGATAAATTGAGTTGAGTGGAGTTCATGTTAGTGTGGGCTGTACTGATAATACAGAAGTACAATTGGCCCTAGACAGGCATGGGATCTAGCACAGCTGAACATCACTGTAGGTGCCATCCAGCATCTGCACATTGTTCTGTCCTGACTTTCCATAAGAAAATGGAGCATTATGCCAGACTGGATTTTCTTCCTCATTTAACAATTTGAATGTAAGACAGTGTTTTGGCCCTGCTTAAGTGTCAGAACGCTTGTGCTTTGTAGTGAATGGTTGTGGTACAATACCTCCCTTTCACTTGGACCTAACAGTCTTATCAAAGCACTCCTGACTACATTGTGGCCCTTACGAACCTTCTCTGGCTGACCTTATAAATCAATTAGCTTATTTCCATTCCCCATGGAAATGCCAAAGTCCTCTTCAAATATTTTCTTTTTTTTCTGTCACACATTCAAGCATGTCAGTCTTCTTCCCCCTCAGCTAATTTTAATTGAAGTGAGTGAAGTAAATGAATTCATCCACCTGCAAGACTTTGCCTAAGTGAGTTCTTGCAGGAAAATGAAGCAAAGGAATGCATATTAAAGGAACATCTGAGAAATGTTGTGGCACAGCTATCCAAGGTCACCTTGTTCCTGGATGAGAGCTTCTATGCAGAGGTTTAATATGTCTTTAAAAGGCATTGACAAATGCACTGTACTGAAGCTAGCTGGAGAGATGGAGAATTTTTAGCTTCAACTGTACATCACAGATAGTCTCTATCTACTCCGGTGCAAAGTCAAACACCTTATTTTAAAATCAGTTTGAGTTCACTTTGATGACTTTGACACGTTTCATTCTGCTGACTCAAATGAAGGCAGTAGCAAACAGGTAGGTACAGAACAAGCTGAAACTGGGGGAACCTTGTGCTATTTGAACATGTCACCACTAAATTATGAACTGTACTTTCATTGACTTTCAGTTTCTTGATGACATACATTTAGACCTGATGTGAGAATCAGAATCTGGTTTGTGAATTGACAAGTATATGATATAGCTACTTTCATGGTCAGGCCTAGATTTTCTCATGGTTCTGCAAAAAGCCAGTGACTTGGCCTCTTTCTCTGCTGGGTTTCCTTTCCCTATAGAGCAAAATAAAACAGCCCTTTTATCACTGAAGTCACTTTAGAAGTTTCCAGCAAGTTCTGTTTTCTCTCAGTAACTGAATTATGGTATAAACTAATCAGCACTCTAGCTGGTCAAGATCTGAGAGGGAGTTCATAAAAACAACAGTTGCTTTAGATCTTCCTCCCACTGGATATTTGTGGAGGATTACAAAGCCAAAACAAGCAGAAAATAAAGCAACCATAAAAAATATACATTGCTTAGAATTTTTTACAACTGTCTGGTGGTTCATGATTCTGCAGGGATTAGTAAGTAACATAGATATTATAAGGCACAGATTATTATCTAGCAAGTAGGTATTAGTAACTTGATTGAAAAAAAGAGCTTAACCACTGAGCTGGGGAAACTGCTTTCCTTTTTACTCTTTTTTCCCTTTTGTGTTTCATGACAGCATTCCTCATCTGAGTTCTTTTATCCAAAGAGTCTGGTTCTGCGCAGGCCACGCTCTGCAGAGGTTTGCTGTTGTGTTTTCATGGTGTTGATAATGGTCTTCTTTACTGAGAAGATTCTTCATTATTGTCATTCGCTGTGCTTGCTACTACTCTACTTCCGCCACACAGCTTTCCTGCTATCACTTGACACCCTGGGCACTGACGCTGTATTTTGCATCATGTGGTGCAGTGTTGTTTGTTACTACTCACATTTCTTATTTTGTTTAATGAAACGCTCAAAATACTAGTTTTTTTAAGATATAGATGAGCTGTTGGGGGCTATAGTATTGTTCTTCCAGTGTTACAGAAAGTTTTTCTTCTAAACAAAAAATTAGAGTGCAAATACGAAACAAATGAAAATGGTAAAAAGCATCTGACTTTAAAGTGATGGTTATAAAGAAACAGTTTTTTCATGAACAATGGCTCATGCTTTTTAGAAAAAAAAGGCAATCAGTTAAATCAGTTCCTTTTTTATATGTATTGGCCAACTACACATGAATACTTTAGTTGAGAAAATATTTACAAAATTCCAGGTTTGGACATGTTCTATGTGCTGCCTGAGAGAATTTGCCTCTCTCTAGTCCAGGTCACATCCATGTCCGAGTTGGGAGGTCCTCCCTGTCCTCTTGATTTGGGACTTTCTACTTTCAGACTTCCTTGAGTTTGCTTTGCACCTACAAACACCACCCACTTCTATTTCTTCTCCTTCAGGGCAGTGCTTATGTATTAGTTGTGCCTGCTGTGAGGGGACGTGTGGCTGTACTGCATGCAGGCACACCTGAGGTAGCTTTCACCTGGTAACAAAGTAAGAAGGTACCGGTCTGGACTTAGCACAGGCTAGCGGTGGGCAGACAGGCTGATACAGTCCATGCCACTGGATTTCCGTTGTGTCTGCTCATGCTGCCTTCACATCTCTAATTGCAAAGTAGACGTAGTCATATCATCAGCCCAGGCGGGGTGTTTGTGTTAGATGCAGGCTGCAGGATAGTGTTACATGGTTGAATCCAATGCTGCGATTCAGTGGGAGTTAATGCAAGCCCTGTGCCCTTTGTCCTGCACAGTACTTTAGTCAGTTAACTTAGGATGTTGCAATGCATTAACCACTCTTGAACGCCGCTCTCCCTGTTAGCTGCAGAAACACATATCAAGAAAATACGGCTATAAAGATGTGTTATCAGTGCTCCAAAGGAGGGCAGGAGGGCAATGCCTCTGCAGTCCTAGACCTTATGGAATCCATTGTTGGGAGTCTGAGAACAGCAAACTGCTGGACCATTTCAGTCACCTCTTAGGCCAGTGTAGTGGCTTTTTGCATTCAGCTTAGCATGCACGAGTCTGAGTTTCCAGTGTTGAAATCCAGGAGCTTTAGGATTAGAAAAATAAATCCTATCCAATGTACTAGAAAAATACGCAAGGCAAAATAGGAGCAGCCCATGTCAAAATAAAGGTATGTTCTCATTCTTGCTTTGTAGACTGTGTAGGATACAAATAGCTTAGGGTCAGATGAATACCCTCTTGTGTAAATTTTGTCAGTATTAAATTCTGTTTAGATTTACAAGCTGATTATACAAAGTGTAATTCAAGGCAGATTTTGGCTTCAAGTGTTCTTCTGCAGAGTAGACACAAAGATGCTATCATTGCTGTTGCTATAAAGATGGGCCAACGGCTTGAATCTACATGAAAATTGTAGGTTGAAAATTATAGCGTGAAATCCTGTGAATTCTCTGAGAAGTTAGGTGTTTAATTCAGTATGTTCTGGTCTTCTCATTTTATTTTCTTCTGCTTTCCACTTAACTTACTCTTGGTGAAGGCTACGTTTGCCACAAGTAGTCTTGTAAAAAGAGTTTATTTGGTAGCAAAGTGCCTTCAATGATTATGTGCTGAAAATTCGTTCTTCTGTCTGGCCTTTATGTCTAGAAAGGAAAGGAAAATTAGTTGTAACCTATTAATATGTGTGTCTGTGTGAATTTGAACTAAACCTGTTCACTAGTTTTGTCTTGATGCATACATAGTGTAGATCTTTTAGGCAGAGAAATAATGAATGCATGCATTTGAAGGAAATGCTCTCGTAAGGAGTAAGGTACAGCTAAGCTAGCAGACAGGCACAATGAATGCTGTAACACTGAAGTGCTTTATTGGTCTTGTACACGGCCACTGAAAATTGCTGAAATCCATAGGAAGCCTGTGTTTAATAGACCCTGGTTCCAAGTCCTAAATAACTGTAAAACCTTGCAGTTGATGAAGCAAGTAGTCAGTAGCAAGTGTTGTACTACGAAAGCCAAATTCCTTGCTATTGCAAAGCTATGTCTGCCTAGTAGAATAAATTACATCCTAATCTTCTAGTAGCTTATTTTATAAACATGCTTCACTTAAAGTAGCTTCTGAGGTGTAGAAAATTTGCTTAAGCTATAATGTTAAATGTTGTTAAGTGAAAACATATTGATTCTTCTGCAGCTATTATCACCGCCTTGCATAATGAACTCTATCAAAAGACTAAGGCAGGTACTGTAAACAATGCTGACAATGCCTTTGTTAAACAATAGTGCATCCATTTGGCCAGATGTTCTTGGGATCGGTTTTGATCTGGTTGCCTGCACTTACAAGTTTTTGTAGAGCATGATTCTGAACATCTGTGCTTGAGAAAGCCAGAGCCACCACATTGTAGCAGCATCTGGATGTGAATGGCTCTAGCGTGGATTTTTTTTTAAGACGTTATTTATTTAGATGATGTGCCATGCATGATGACATGACAAACTGAAGTAAATGCAGATGAACATCTTAAGCTTTGCAATCTAATATTAAAATAACAAGTTAATCAGTTTGGGGCATATGCATGGGTGATACAATAATTGAGCATTGACATTCACAGTGAACTAAATAGGATGAGCATGATAGTTGGTGTTACCTTTGCCAATCTGCAAATGAAGTTGGTAAAGGACTTTTGCATTGAAGACAAATGCATGGAATGACAAACAAAAACATAAAGACAAGAAGTCTGTGATAAAGTGGGAAATACTGGGAAGTCTTGCAGATTAGATACTTTGTGATCTGGTTCTGTCCTTTGGCTCCTTTAATGACATGGATGAATTTCTGTTGACTGAATTTCTATTGATTTTTTTCATATACTTCATAGACTTCCTGTATCTGGTACAGACATCCCATATTGATATACTTACTACTGTTACATCCATTTTGGTGGAAGAGGAAAGAAAAAAAGAGATGACTCTTCTACTGTCAGAAAATGTGGAGAAAAGCCATGCACCACAAGAAAAGGAAAAAAGATTAGTTGTAGTTCTTCATAGAAATTTGCTTTAAATTTCTCTGCACAAAGGTGGCATTATGAAAAGCTCTATTTGAAATCTTCCAGAACAAGAACAGTCATATAGTGTTCCAGATCTGTTTGTAGAAGTAGTAAGGCAGCTTAACTTGTTTTGTTGCTGGGAGTGTAGCAAGTGTGATAGGACTATTGTGATGGAAGGAAATACCTCTAAATTAATGCATTTTTATTGAAGGATGTTTCCTCTAATTTCTTTGCCTGTCTTCTTCCAACAATGTGTGCAAGAGATGCTCATGTGATATCTCCACTGAAGGTTAAAGGTTAAATCAGGGATAGCCGCTCTTTCTGTTTCACCTGTACTCTGATCAGCTCTCTTCTAAGGTGGACTTTACACCCCATTGCAGTTACATCAACAGAGAACTTGACCTCCAGTGTGTCTCTTGCCACCTGCTTAAGATACAGAGTCACAACAGTAGTACACAGTGTCAGGGATTCTCAACTGCTAATGAAGATGTAATGTACAGTCTAATAACAGCCATACCACATCACAGATTTTCAGTCAGCTGTTATAGGTCTCTTAGGAGAGGGGCCAACCATAGCAACTAAAAGTATGCCAGAGAAACAGCTTATATCAAGGAATCTTTAGTGTATGTTTGTTAAGGCAAGCAGCACAAATGTTTTTAAGTGCAATGCAATTGTTTTTAGGGGAAAGTGCAAAGCTGTGAAGGATTCCAGACCACATGGGAGCAGCAGAGTAGGAAATAGCCGTCTGCGATGGAAACAGCCTGTGTAATTAAAAACAAAAAATAGGGCAAAGTGAGGCAGGAGGGGTGAGTAGATGTGGAAGTCCTCCTTTTCATGCACTGTCTTCAGGGGTATGTCATAAACTTAAGCAAGATAAAGGACTGGGGGCAGATAGAGGAGCCACAGAGTTCCAGGTCTGCTTGGATTAAGCTCCTTTGGAGAGGAATGGTGTCTGCTCAGGCAGTGGCTGGCAGGATGGCATCCTACCCAGGGAATGTGGAGCTTTGCAATAGGTGGAAGGTAAAATTGATGTGTGCGGGAAGAATTACAGAAAATAGAAGACTGGTTTTAAAGGGTGTCATATCTGGCTCATGGCTGTGTTAATGGGATGGTAATGAGGAACTTGAAGCAGAAACACAGTGAGGAAATGAAGAACAGGTGCTACAACTTGCCAGTCCATCTGACAAACTGCTCCTGTACTCCTGTGTTAAGAGCACCTAAGAAAGTTGTTAGCAGGATGTGGCTGAAACTATCTTCTTAAGGAGTCTAACTTTATTTAATAAATTCACTGAAGTGATCCATACAAGTGAAAAGGTTTTTAGCAGTGACACTAAGAGATGAGACTAAGGAGACGGACTGAGGGCTCAGAATTTCTTGTTTTCTGAAGTGATTATAAAAGATCCAGAGTGAAGAGCGATCCAGAGCAAAGAGCAACCCAGAGGGTTGCTTCCCAGGGGGGAAGAAGCTGTAACTGCCTCTATGCTTGTTTTCCTACAACAGGGAGAACTGAGCAGACAAAGTATGTCTGCCAAAAGCCTAGGGTAGCAGAGACACCCCTAACAGTACCTCAACTATTTAATACCATTCCCTGTGTTGTAATGAAAGCAATTGTTTTCCATAGCAACTGCAGCAACATGTTACATGTGAAGGGGGAATGAAGTGTTTCTCAACAACAGCCAGATTTTCCAGCTTAATTCTTGTAACATTTCCATGAAGCAGGTTGTTGTTGTTGTGTTTTTTGCTTCAGTTGCATCATGGGAGAAGCTTAAGGACAGCTGAGAAATTTCTGTTCCTTTTTGGGATGTAGCAATTTGCAGCTACAGAGAGAAAAGGAAAGAAACACATAAAGGTCCAGCTAAGAAAGCGTTCTCAGACATGCTCTGGAAAGGATTTGTGACTGTGTTAATCTATGGTCACATCTGTTCTGTTTGGTCTGAATCTTCATGTTTTTTGGTGGAACATGTTCAAAGCCTTTTATTCCTCTGACCCTCCCTGAATGTGGTGATTTCATTTCCACAAATGAAGTCAGAGAAAGCCTGCTGTATGATCCACAACTAGTCTTCAGCATTTTTTTATATGGATGATTCCAATAGCTTTCCTGGTTATGAAATAAAAGGTAGGAAGACTCTGAGGTCTGCTGAAGGATCCTTTCAGGAAATGTGTGCTGAGAGATAAGAAAGGTCCAGTAGCCTTGTTGTGTTCAGTCCAGATACTTTCTAAGAACAATCAGCAAGCCAGGCTGATTGTTTCTCTTCAGTGTGTGCCTGAAGGTCCCATAGTTCAATGTCCCAAGCTGACGAGGTAAGGACTATTTACTAAGATTTAATTTTCAGTGACTTTGAAGAATCCCACTTGCACTAGTGTCATCAGAGTCATCTGATGATGCATTTCTTTGTGATGAGATTTGGTTCTTTGCAGTCAAATAGGGAGCAAAAATTGTTCATGGTTTCTTGGTTGCAAGTGGGTGACTACCTTTGTGTGTCTGCTGCATGCCAAATTTAGGAGTAATTGCCTGGGTGACTTTGGATCGAATAGATGTTTTCCGAATTCATCAAGTTTTCACGATCCCCACATCTCAGTGATAAGTTATTTTGTCTCCTCTCACAAAGCTTTTCCCAGGGAATCAGTGTCTGTTTAGTCCTGATGAAGTGTTGGAAAAGCTACTAAATGTGTAACAGCACTCACTCTGTAGGGATGTGACTGTTCTCATGAATTTCAGTTTGCAGGGCATTTTCATTAAACATCAGGACTTTTGCAGTATGGGGAATCATGACATTTCAATCAACAGTTCAGCTTTCATGTTGCATCTAGATTATGCTGCAGATGTAGGGAACAGCTCAAAGACAAGGATTTCTGGTCCTTCTACTTAGAAGGACTGAATTAAGTTCTGTATTCATAATGGAAATCCAGTGATGGAACAGCTGGAAAGTGATAACATGTGTGCTGTGCTCCTCTCAACAGTTGTGTCTGCTGAACTGCTGAAACCTCTAGCTGTTTGTGAACTAACATTTTGATAAAATGACCAGCAGGGCTATCCTGGTTCGTAGTTTGTATGGCTCCTTGCAGTGTCTCTGGCAGGTGTAATTTGATTTTGTTCATTACTGTTATCAGTCTTTTACATTGTATGATTTAGAAAACCTCTTTCCCCTCTCACAGCACTCCTTCACCTAGCAAAAAATAGCCCACTTGCCTCACAAGATTGTGAAACTTGCCAGAATGCTTGCGTTTGTGTTGATATTTTTTCTAAATTCAGTTAATTTCAAGAGGTGTGCAGATTTCTTCACTTAAAATCGAAATTACCAATGTTAATGGTTTCAAGTTTCTGAAAAGTTACTTTTTGTTTTTCAGCCTACAAGAACATCATCAGAAAGTATTTATTCCAGACCAGGTTCCAGTATACCTGGCTCTCCAGGCCACACTATCTATGTAAGTATTCCTTCTGATGGATAAGCTGCTGATCCCTTGCTTGCACATGAATTACTCCAAGCTGAAATAAATCACTTTTATACTGATGCTAATGCCTTTATTCTAGTGGCTAATTGTTAAAATTCTCGCCATGTAGTTTTTATAACTACAGAATTTCAAGAGCAGGGTAGGCCTTTTCCAGGTCACGTTCCCCTTAGAAAGATACAGTAAATCTCTTGAAGTCACTTGGCGATGTGAAGAGGGACAGAAGGCAGACAGGTCATTTGACTTTGTTAGGGGTTATGTGAGGAGATCTGTGCACCTGGATACACAGTTCTTGAGAGATCTGCTGTCTGCAGTTGCAGGACATGGGGAGGAGCATCAGCTACACTAAAAGAAGCCTGGCTGATACAAGACCTTCTGTTTCAGAAGTCAGATGTTTGGGTTGTGGAAGGAAAGGTGATTTTTATTTAAGAATAAAAACAGTATTAGGCATCCTTCTTTTACTAAACTAACAGTGCTGAAAATGCAAAGCTATTGATATACTATTTTATTTGTGGTTACCTGAGATGTAGAGTTTAATATGATTCCTTCAGTAATCAAGCCTCCTCTTTCATTATTTTAGAGGATCTCTTTCACTTCTTGGCCTTGTTATTGGTACCTTTTTAGCCCATAAGATCTTAGAAATTAAAAGTGGAAATACATTAGCAGAAGATTGGCCCAAAATTTTCAAAGGAATGATGTGTTTCTCCTATTTTCATACCACTTTTTTCAGGCATTTCAGTGTTGTAAGTGTCAGTACCTTTTTTTTTTTTCCTTGGCAGAGAAGTCCACAGGGTCAAAAAAAGTCATGTGTTGTGGCTGTACTAATCTGGTTCTAAGGAGAAAGAATATCAACTCAGATGTACTTTGGTGAATAACAGAAGAGCTCAGCCTTCTCAAACTTGCTGTATTTCTGTGCATATAACCTACACTTCCAAAAATTCGCATCCGTTTAAGAGTCCTGTTCCTTGAAAGTCCATATAACCTTTGTCTTCATATAAAACATGCTCTCAGATAACCTGCACAAAATCCAAAGCAGAAGCAGAAGATAACAGCTAAGGAAGAAAATCACAGGAAGGCAAGTTAGTGAGAAAGAGTCCATTACGAGGGGAGCAAAGATGAAGGCATGCTGGGAAGAAGAGGCAGACTACAGGGCAAACTTTCGTTTCCGTTACCTATGCATAATGCTGAATCACTGATTTTATAGATAACCTTAAGATTATATAGGTGAAAATATAGCGTAAGACACAAAAAATTATCAGTTACATGTATAATAGTGCAGAAAAATTACCAAAATTACAAATCTCAAGCCCTGAGTTTGAGTTAAATACTACTTGTTCAGTGCATTTCAACAACAACAAAAATTAGCTGATATATTAAAAATGTTCACACTGCAGATATCAAAACACAGAGCATATCCTGGAGAACTGTCACCTTGCTGGTAATGTCAACTTCATAAGCTGTAGCTTATGAAATTTAACTGCTGCTCAACGGCACAGTCTGTAGGGCAACGTGGTGGCCTAGACCAGGGTCTACAAAAATGTCTGGGGTAATTTATGTTGGATTAAGAATATCCAGACATATTTGCAGGTCACTAACAGACTGTGGTAAAAATATTACAGAAATAACATACATTAATATATCTGCGTATTTTAAGGATTAAATTGGCTTATGGTATTTTGTTATATCTGGTCAGTCAAAACTAAACAGATTTGAGGCTATTTTTAGAAAGTGAATTTCAAACCTTTTTCTCTATCAAAAAATGTTTTGTATTGTTTCTAATTTATGGCATTGCTTAAGTACCATCAAGACCAGTGGTTGTTAGGAGAGCTTGGGAAGGCAAACACACTTAAATCTGAAAATACTAGGTGCTAGTACTCAGGAAGAACAGAACTGAATGTGAGTAGAAACAGATCAGCCTACCTGCCTTGTGCCACCTGCTATGAAAAAATAAAATACCTAGTAGAAGAGTTGAAACCCAATTTGAATATTCTCTTTCACTTTTAATCATCAAATGTATTTCTGTAAGGTAGGTAAGAATGTATGATGATTTTTTTTAACAGGTCTTCTTCTAAGTAAGGAAAGATATTAGCTATCGAAACTGTAGGCCTCTTTCTAGCTCCTTCTGCAGTTGTCTTTGGAACTAATTTCCTTCTTCAATTTTTTATCTTGTCAAGAGATCCTTGCAGTTTTAGTGGAAAAAACAGTCAATGTTAGTACTATGTAGTATGCAATTAGTAAGCAATGTATGCCTTAGAAGCTTGGGTATAGGTTGAGTAATGAATGCAATTTAATAATTTCAATTGGGAGTTTGGATACGCAGTCCTGACAAATAGTCCTTCTTGCCTTTTTATTTCTTTGTAATAAGTTGTATTTCCTCTTGTGTGCAGTTATAAGTTGGCTTTCTGTCTCTGGTCTTCTGCATGGAATCATCTCATGATCTCTGTAATCTGCAAATGAAATTGATGTTATCACACATTTTTACATATGGGAAAACAAGAGCAGAAAGGTGAAAATACTTGCCTGAGGCCACAAAATATGTCATTTGTGGAACTGAAGTTTCCAGCTCACTGCTGGGGATAAGAAACTTATGTATTAGATCTATATATGCCATGTTCTTTCTTTCCTAAACTGAGAAAACTCTGTGGTTTTGCAGAGGAGGTGTACTGGAGAAGAACAAGAAGCAATCACTTCGCATGTGGAGTGCCGGAAAGGGTTTTCCATAGCAACAGTGTGACAACAAATACACAAAAATCATAAATTGTGTAAAACAGAAATTACCGGTGCATTTGTGTAAGTTAATTAATCTTCTGTCTTTGACCTTCAGGCAAAAGTAGACAATGAGATCCTTGATTACAAGGATTTAGCAGCCATTCCCAAAGTCAAGGCCATTTATGACATTGAACGTCCAGACCTAATTACTTATGAGCCATTCTACACTTCTGCCTACGAGGACAGACAGGAGAGACAGAGTCTTGGAGAGGTAATGAACTGACAAGCAACCCATTCTGCTATAAGCTTTATTCAAAGCCTGCTTCGCTTCTATCCTCTTTTGAAACACTTTATCTAATTGACACTCCTTGATATTGTTGCTGCTGCTGTTCAAAGTGCTTTTTGTCTGTTTGATCTGGGTTTAATGGGAACAATCATGATGATGCCTCATGTGCGAAATTGCACAATTAAACATGCAATTGAACACCTATATTAACACCAGCCACTGGCAGAGGAATGGCGGGGGGGGGGTTTGCGCCCGGTTATTACCCCCAGCCACTGGCAGAGGAATGGCGGGGGGAGATTTGCAGCCTGTCTGCATGTGCATTCTCCTAACTTACCTGGATATCCTAGTCTTTGGGTACAGCAAAGTCCAGAATGTGAGGTAAAAGCTAAGCTTGTGTGCTGTACAGCACTGATATTCAGAACAGAATGTTCTGATGTTCTGTGGCAGTAAAAGGATTAAGAGCAGCGGGATGCTTTCCCTCACATTGAAGCGAAATGTATTTCCAGAGCACTTTGCCAGACATACTGGATAAAATCTGAACTAGGTCAGGATGAAGTGCTTTTCCACCTGGGAAAGCAGGTTAGTTGTGTTATGGAAATAGCTGCTTCACACTTTTAAGTGCTGACATTTAGTAAGGATTCTTGTATCCTGCAATGATAGAAAAAAAACCATCTAATTTATTCTCTTAAATTTGTATTTAAAGATATCTGTCAGGTTGTAGGGTCCCCAGTTTTCTCAGGTGAACTTCCATAGCTGCAATTACTATTTACACGGTTCCAGTGCAGATCACGAAGCAGGTTTTTTCATGTAATGCCATCCGAGTGCAAATCAAGACTTGCAGAACGCAAGTTTAAATGGACGTGGAACTGGATTTACTTCCTTGCAATCTCAGTGACTCTACTGGCTGTAACTGAATTAGGTATGAAGATGAGCTGAGGAAGAAGGAAGTACAGTAAAACATTCAGGCACCAGTGGTCTAAAGATGCCCAGGTCAGTGACTGATAACCTGCTCTCTTAGCAACAGATCAGAGCTGCCTCAGTCTTTCTGCTTTGTTCTTTAATGTTTTATAGGGTTAGTTTTTTGAATTATAACATGAATTGGAAATTCGGGAGACTTTTCAGCTCAGGAATAAGAGATTAACAGGCCACAATATTACAGAATTTCCCCTCTCAAATTTATGTTGGTAGTGAATCCAGCTGACATCTGGTTCAAAACCGCTGTGAGCTGCATTGGTCACCTCTGACCAGTTCCACCAGGCCTGACCCATTCCACAAAGCCCTCTGCAAAGACGAGTCTCTTGTTAGTTGCAGAGGAGGAACTAGTCTCACCCAGAGAAGGTGAACTACTTGTTAATCCTTAAGGGGAAGCTTCTCACTGACAAAGCAGTATGTTGGAAGCTGATAAAGCAGTATGGTGGAAGCTGTCTGCCGTTACGCTTGTTCTGGGGATAGAATCAGCAAAAGCCTTTGGGGTTTTCTTACCCCGTATTTTCACCAGCATTAAATCCAATTAATTTCTGGTGACTACAGAAATTTGTTCTGAAAACAGAAGGGCTCTAACCTTCTTTTCAGAGGATCTGGGTTTTCCACGCAATGCTACTGCTGGGTTCTGTCACCTTGGGCAAGTTACCTCACCTCTTTGTACCTGTTTCTCTTCCCGTCCCTTGCCCTAACGAACACAAGCCCGTCGGGGTAGAGTGATCTCTTACTTTGTGTTTGTGTTGTGGTAATCGAGTGACACCCCAGTCTTGGTGCATCGTACGTCAGTCACCGTCATCTTTAAAAAGCAAAGGACGTGACATGTTTTGTCATGGAAGGGATTTGCAGACTTTGAGTGATTTAACATGCGTTCTCTTTGCGAAGTGTGTGTATGTGGTGGTGTTAAGTAAAAGGGGACCCTGAGTTTAAGCCTGTACACTAGAAATGCCCTTCACCCCAATATTAAAAAAAAAAGAAAAAGAAAAAAGCGCCAAACTCGGCTAAAAAAGATTTCTGGGTGTAGAGGGGGGATGTGCAGGAGCCACCAAAGTGAAGGCAGGAGAATGGGCTACAAGCAAATGACGTACTTTAGCCACAGAAAGTGAGAAGACACAGCATGAGGCTTTCTTCTTTACTGCAATGGCAGGGAAATGCTTCACGAAGTTTCTCGCTCACCTCTCCCGTTCAGTCACATCCCCGTCCGGCTCCTGTGGGAGCCTGTCACGGCACGTGTTTGCAGACAGCGCCATCTGGCGGGGCGCGCCCCGCACTGAGGTCCTCCCGCCGCTGGCGGGGGGGAAAGGCAGCGCATGGCGGGGTGGCTTAGCTGCTGGTATAACAGAGATGAAGAGATGCAAAGTGAGATCTGCAAACAAATCTGCTGCTACTGAGGCTGACCCTTAAGGTAGTCATAATGTTTCCAGAAACTGTCAGTTACTCAGGTTCTTAATGTCCTGTAACTTCGGCCCTGCTAGCAGCAGCCTGGTGAGCACTGAAATCGCCTGTTCTCGGCTCTGACTTTTGCTGCATAAATATTGAGAGAAGCAGCATTTTACCTGCATGTCCTTTGTTTCTAGTATTCTGTCTGTTGAAAGTACTGAATGTCTGTAACAGCTTTCAGTAAACAAGCTGCCGTAAAATAAAAGGATTTTTTCTAATGTGATAGATGCTTCAAAATGGAGCAGGCATCCTACCTGGTAGTTCAATAAAAAGACAGTTAAACTGAGGTCTGTGTGAAATGCTGGAACTTGTGTTACAAAATGACACCTGTAAAAGTTTGCAGAAATTTCCCAGAGCACAAAACGACCTGTACAACTTTAGGTATTAGAGCAGCCCCTTTGATCTCCAAGTGATAGGGCATTGAGCCTGTTGCAGTGAGTAGAACTTTTACTGTAAATGCGGTCAGAATAGGCTCTCTACCCAGACTTTTTTTTAAAAAAAATCTGGAGTCATCACTCTGTATTTCCACTGGATTACTGTTCTGGAACTGAGCTGCACACTCTATTTTGAACTGACTAGTGTAGACTTCTGTGATAGACCAGTTTTTAAAAGATCTCATAAACCCTGAAGAACCAAGCATTCCTTGGCAGACTCACAGTTTGAGATATGGCAAATTCACCTGTGCATGATAAAATAGTAGGTTGGCTGCAGAGTGTGGTGCCATTTCCCAAAAAGCAACGAGATGATGTCAGAGAGTGATGGAGTAAAAATACATGAAAGGTTGATCAGGGATTCAGCATGTTACTTTCTGGGATGTCTTCCCAGTCTTAGATTCCTGTGACTGTCTTTTACAGTAGTGATTACCTTAGCATCTAGGCAACCACAGCAGATTATGGAAATTTATTTACTTACAGTAACACATAAATTACTATTAGAAGAATGTGGGAACGCACATCACAACATGTGCTTTTTTCATTCATACTGAAAGTTTTAGATTAGCTCTCGGGTTTTTGTGGAGGATGATGCTACGAAGCACTGTGTACGATATGTTTCATGTGGAACAGTTTTTATGGCTGCTGCTGTTAGATTATAATGAAATGGTGGTTTGCTGTATAGAACTGGTACAGTTGTAAGGATTAGGAAAACAAGAATGTAAAAGACATGCAAGGCTTTGATGGAAAGTAACAAAAGCAGTCTTTAAAAAGCTTTATGGGAACTTGCTGAAAGATGTTCTGTACCCAGATCAAAAATGTCACTCCTTTGTTTGGATACTTTGCATTCACAGTGTCACCAGCTCCGTGAGAGTTAATGATCTCTCAATGCAAAATGTGTAGCTGGATATTTCTTACCAGAAATTCTGCATAGGTTTTACACTACTGCTGTTGTATATTATTGTAAGTTAGACCAAAATCAGCAGTTTTGCTTCTGAGACATTATCTTAATAGCTGTATCATTCTATAATAATTGTGGTCTTATTTAAAAGCATAATCTCTTGCTCAGTTTGTTATGGCAATTGAATAATACTGAAGTTTAGTGCATGAAGAAAATAATTAAATCCTGATCTTCCAGCTTCAAATTGTCTTGTGATTAAAGAGCACATAACTGGTGATTATACATAGCCTTTATTCTTGTTTGTACCATCAACGTATGCATGATCTTATGCTTCATTTCTAAAGGTATTTCTTGCCTCAGTTTCCCTATCTCTGTAATAGAGACTTTTCATAATATTGTGCATATTTCTGCCCACTGGCATTTGTGCAGTTCTTTCAGTATACATGCTTGTAATCCCTGTCTGTTCTCCTTACGTAACCATGGAAGAACACAGAGATTTAAAGGAGATCATATCAAAGAAATGTTGATGACAACTACGTACTCCTTTGCATGGGTATGAAATGTAAGGCCTTGGGGAGAAGCACATTTTTGCCAGAGTTTGTGTGTTGGAGGAAAAACACACTTAGTCCTGGAAGTTATTCTGTATTTCTGATGCAATGCAAAGCTCTGAGTTAAGATTATTTACTTTTGATTTCCACTTTAAAGATTTCTTCATAACAGGCATGGTTATTAAATTAATAACCCTTTCTGATTTTGATCTTTACAGCTATGTTTTAATTACCACAATGATTAGATGGCTGAGAGATGATGTTGCATGGTATTTGACTGAATTAATCACGCTTATAAAGATTCTCCCAGAAACTTTAATTGCTTCAATGATCTATGGACGAGTTCCTAAACAATGTGGAAAAAGCAAGTTCCGGTGCTGCAATGGCCTCAGCAATTTCTGCATTGCCATTTTACGTTGTCTTATATCCATGTATCTGGAGCAATGTTTAGATTTTCTGGCCCAGGATATGCAATGATGTTTCGGTAACCTTATTTTTTATGCCTTTGCAGTCTCCAAGGACATTATCGCCTACCCCTTCTGCAGAAGTAAGTTTGGTGGAACCTTTGGGGGCAGTATCTTACTGTGATTAGAATTATTCACTTCAAGTGCAGGTGTTGATTTTGCTATCAGTCTGATGCATCTCTGTTTGCCACGTAGACATGTTTTAACGTAACAAAAAATAACTGCAAAAGGAAACCTTAAGTTCTTATTGACAGTTTGTACAAAAAATGAAGCTACCACTCCTACCCATGTGTTTTCTATAAAGCAGAGTCATTTCTCCAGCAGAGGTCACTTCTTGCACATTCATCCTTCTTGTGGCACAGGTGGATCTCGGGAACTGGATGATTTAAAGCTAAAATGCTGCTCTAAGCATCTAAATAATAAGCTATGTTCGCTACTAAAACATGTGCAGTTTTGTCTTGAAGAAAACATAACTATGGTTTGGTTTGGTTTTGCTTTTCCCTAGGAGTTAATTTGAACATCACAATAACATGGAACATTTGGGAAGTCATTTCTCAGGATACAATAGATGCCATTGCAGAAGCATAATCATTTTTGGGGCTGGGGAGTGTTGCTTATTTGCAATGTAAAAGTTGCAGTGATTGCTACATGTTAAAAAAGTGACTATAAAAATTCTTGTAAATCTTCATGCATGAACATCAGTCCTGTCCCTTTTGTCCTGGTTTGGTTCGCTTTGGGGAGTTTTGGGCGGGTCATTTTTTTGTTTGTCTTGAGGGGGTTTTGTTTATTTTTTTATTGACTTTTTTTTCCCAGGAAACCAAGTAAATTGAATTATATATGAGAAGGTGTTATGTTTTCAGATACAAAAAGGAATCTAATTTTGATACTAAATACCTTTTGATGTAGCTAGTCAAGACACATGGTAAATGAAGCCATAGAGAGATCTGTGCTGCAGCTATGGAACTCTTGCTGGTCTCCAAGTTAGCTAGCTCAAGGCTAGCTCATGTATCTTGTGCAGTACGCTGCATACTCTGAATGTACAGACATACTCTGAATGCAGCTTCCCTTATGGAGCCACAGGAATGTGGGCAAATCTAGGATTGTATAGAATTTAATAGAAATTACAGGTGGAGCTGGAACCTTCCAAGACTGAACTCTGAACCAGACTATAAAAATGGAGTCTTTGGAACAGATCATTAGAGAACAGTAATAATGAAATAGGTTGAAAGCTTAGGGGATATTGTTATTTCGGTAGCTTCTGCTGTTGTCTTTAAATCCATGGAAGTTAAGTGCTGCTAAAGATGTGTAATCTGCATTTACATTTATTAGTGAATGCTTCTATTCTGCAGGGTTATCAAGATGTTCGGGATCGCATGATTCACAGGTCTACTAGTCAGGGCTCCATTAATTCTCCAGTGTACAGTCGTCATAGCTACACACCCACCATGTCACGTTCCCCTCAGCATTTCCACAGACCTGGTAAGGGCAGCAGCATTAGAAGTATATGTAAAACTATTCTTTCTTTATTATGTCTCTTGGTGGTGCAGCGAAGCACTTGTTTCACTTAGCAGTGAAAATTCAGGCTTGAAAAATTGTTGCATATTTTAATATCTGCTTTTCTACCTGTTTTTTGTTCTTGATTGGTGCAGTCTTTTGCACTAGGCTGATGAGTGTTTATTACATCACAAATATGGATCTTCTGGTTTTGTTTCTGATGAATTATTTTTTAAATCTTTGTATGTTTCTGAAAGCGAGCAAAAATTTGCAGCAGTGAATCACAAACTTCATTTTGGAATTTGGGAAAAGTATCACATATTGGAAACAAAAGTTATGGCTTGACTCTACAAAAGTCAGTAAATGTAGGATTCCTCCCTCCTAAAAAACAATTCATTTAAAGCTTGGTGCAGCCATGGAATCTCAGATTCAGGAGCAAAACCTTTAGATACTCCAAATTGCTAGTCATTTTTTAAAACATAGACTCATGGTTTGCGAGGTAGATTTCTTAATTAAAGCCATAGGCAATTGCTTGGGAACATTTAAAAACCACAAACTTCATTTACTGGCTTAGCAGTGATGTACAAGTTCTATGTATAATATAGAAAATGTACAGGTCATTCAGGTTCCCAGTGCATTCAAAATTACTGATTGTGTATATAAAAGCAAGATATGAAAATGAATTGTTCATCCACACCTAAACTGCATTAAAAATTATCTCTAAATGCAATTCATTGAATACTTTTCAGGACTGATCTTATTGTTTATGGTAATGAATTAAATCTTTGTGATCTGTTTTTAAATTAAGTGATACAATCACGCAGTTCCATCTTCCTTGGTGGTTACAGCTGAACAGTTGGGATGCCAAAAGCCCATATACTAGGAGCTGCATTTTTAAAATTAAAGATTTATAATAGAGCCACCACTGTAGAACTTGAATGCTGTAGCCATTTCCTGCTAGGGGTGGGCTGAAAGCAGCTAATTGTGTCTGTCAGTGAATGCCTTATTTAAAGGACCCAAGGGAGGTGGGACAGAAGCAAATTGTGTCTGGTACTTAGTGCTGACAACATGACCATGTTTTAAGATGACATTACAACTGAAACCGAAAGAGACTTAAAAACGTGAAAAAGCTGCAAACTTCTGTCTCTCGATTCTGGCAATTCTGAGGGGATTTTTCCATCTGTATCATTCCTATCAGGGATATGAACAAATCCAGGCCCAATTCCAGACTTTACTGTGATTGAGTTTTACTGTCTGGGTTCAGTCAAGGACCTTCCCCAGAAGCAGTCTCTGTTTGTGTAACTCTTGTGACGGGTGGATGGGCTCAAGCCAGAGTTTAGATCCAAATGTAAAATCTTCAAAAGTTTGCAGCCTGAGGGATTTTCTGAGAAGATATTTGTTCAAACTTATCTCTGTTCAGATGATCTCATCTTTGGCTCACCTGTTTCTGTTTCTCATATGACACAAAAGTAATTGTGTAGAATTTATCATTTTGATCTTTGCTACCCTGCTTTGGGGTAATTGTTAATGCTACTTTATAATTTTCCTACAGTAATTATTCATGTTGAATAATAGCACATGTATATTTACCATTTTTCTCCTAATAGCACTTCTTATCGTCATGTTTTTTGCAAGAATAATTTCTCTCTGAATAAACCCAGTGGCCCCAGATAACTTCTCTTTGGCTCCCAGCTAGCCCTTGAGAGAGAAGTGAACCACTGTGTTGACGTTGTCAGCATAAGGTTCTTCAAAAATTTGAGTACTACAAGTTCTGAAAAAGTTTGCAGCCTTTTCCTCCCGCAGTGCCCTAGCTGATGTTGGCAGCATTTTTGGAATGTCTTAAAACAATAGAAAATAGCTTGCATGTCTCTTGACTGACATTTTTTAGTCAGGCACTTTTCAAAACAGCTGCTTTCTTAACTAATTGAGCGTCAATGTTTGTGATGTTTGCATGCTGGTAGCAGGCTACTTCTTGATAACAAGGCATAGATCAGAAGCTCGTTAAGCCAATAAATGTTATGCCAAATTAGCGATGCAGTTCAAATCTGAGCCTCTCTTCTAATACTTCCTGTAATTTTGTCTAATATTTATGAACCCTTCGGTACGTCTTTAACCTTTTTTTTTCCTCCTTCCTTCTTTCCAGAATCCTAATTGTTCAATGCCTTTTTTTTTCTTCCTTTGAAGCCTCCTTCCCTGCCTTTCTCTTATTGTTTTTCTTTGTTTTCATTTTGTTCTGCCCCCCGATTCCCTGCTGCTGCAGAGCTGCTCTCTACTGGTGTGCAGCGGTTGTCATACCTGCGCACTAGCAGTCTCAGCTCTACTCACCATGACTCCCGCCCCAACTCCCCCTTCCGACACCACTTCATCCCCCATGTCAAAGGTAAGGAGCCAGGCCTCCCCAGGGAGTACCCTCCAGGCTGGAGATTTATTAGCATTCTGTCAAAGCTAATAAGGTGTATCTCCGTAAGGCTGTCATTGGCTGTATAGCTGAGCATGCCTCGAAATGTGCCGTTACACTTAAAACTACGTTAGTATAGACATAATGTCCTTTTTTCAGAGGAAATATGTCATTTCTAAGGGCCCTAGTTGAAGAGTCATCAAGCAATTACGTATTAGAAATATACAGGAAAGCATTATCATTTACTATTTAGAACGTATATGTGCCTAATTTACCTTCTTTCTAAAAGCAGTACATAACAACCACTACAGCAGTTAGCATATCAAATTTAATTATTATTTCCACATTCTTAAAACATGCATTTAAAAATTGACTACAAATATTGCCTGGATGACAGCAAGGTGATCAAAAATATGGAGAAGAAGAAAAAAAAAGATTATATAAAGATCAATGGCAACAAGGAAGGTAATCATTGTTAATCACATTGGCAATAGTTAGTGCCCAACAAAGCAAAATTAAAATCTCTAGGCCTCTCCTCAACTAGTGATAATCAGCAGACTCTGCTGAAGACAGTAGAGTTGCAGGGATTTACACTACCTGAGGATCTGGTCATTTCTCTTTTTTTCAATCTGTTATTTTCCATGGTTTGATTTGGGGGAGGGTTGTTCTTTCATTGTGTCCCTTCAAGGAGCTCATTCAGATCAATAAGCTTTTAGTTTTGTTTCTTGCTTTCTGTGAATGTGGTTTTACTTTTATTCCTATTGGAGCACTCTCTGGCTGTGCTGTCTCTTCTGTTGGGGGAGAAGGTCATAGCTTATATCACCTACGAGAGCTCAAAAAGAGGCAGCTGAGTAAGTCAAACATAGATTCTATTCCGGCACCGCTGCTTAATGTAGATAATCATAAACTGGAGATAATCAAAAACAGTTGCAAGGGAGTTGTTGCCATGAACTTTCAAGAAATGCTAATAGATCTCAACTTTATAGCTCTTCCAAGCATTCAGATCACCATTACTAATTTTACTCTTGCCTTTTCTTAGATGACTTTTGTTAACATGCACTTTCAACTTTCCTATTATGTCACTATAAAAAAAAATCTCACTTCAAACTTAAAAGATTGGGACCCTTAAAAATAGATACACTGCTCATTTCAGCATGCAGTTAATTCATAATCCTTGCAATTTCAACATTTCTTTGCTGTAAATCCAAATTAATGCTCACACTCTTT